GTTCCTTCAATGTTTTGTTGCTGAGGAATAGGTTCATGGACAAGTTCCCTTGAGGTTTGAGGATCATTTCCTCTTTGTTCTATTCCCCCTGTCATGTTGCCCTGGGTAGAAGGACCTGTTCCTTCCTCTAGTGCAACTTCAGTCTGGGCTGTGGTTTCATTTGAGTCTCTTATCGGCCCAATTCCTTCATCATCATGTTCCTATCTCTCAGAAAGAATGTTAGTTTCATCAAAAATCATATGAACACTTTCTTCTACACACATAGTTCTTTTGTTATAGACCTTATAAGCTTTACCACATGAAGAATATCCCAAGAATACTCCCTCATCACTTCTGGGATCAAATTTACCTAGGGAATCTTTACCATTATTGTGCACAAAGCACTTGCATCGAAATGCCCTAATATGGGATGTATTTGGTTTTCTCCCTTTAAGTAACTCATACTGAGTCTTCTCTACAAGAGGTCTAGTCATGCACCTATTTATGATGTAGCATGCAGTGTTCACAACTTCTGCCCAGAAGCTATGGGACAGTTTACTAGAAAGAAGCATAGTCCTAGCCATATCTTCAAATGTCCTATTCTTTCTTTCAACTACTCCATTTTGTTGTGGAGTCTTAGGAGGAGAGAAATAATGATCTATGCCATGTTCATCACAAAATTCAGCAAATTTAGCATTCTCAAATTTAGTGCCATGATTAGACCTAATTGATGCAAGTTGATTACCTAGTTGTTTCTGAGTTTTTCTAACAAAATAAGTAAACATGTCAAATGCTTCATCTTTAGATGTTAAAAAACAGTGACCAAGTAAACCTAGAAAAATCATCAACAAGCACGATCACATATCTCTTACCACCTCTGCTTAATGTTCTCATTAGACCACAAAGATCCATATAGACCAGTTCCATCGTCCTGGTGGTGCTTACCATTTTCTTGCATTTAAAAGAGTATCTTACCTGGTTCCCCCTTGCACAAGCCTCACAAACTTTATTTTCCTTGAACTTGATGTTAGGCAGCCCTATCACCAGGTCCTTGGAGAGTAACTTGTACAGTTGACTCAGACTAGTATGTCCAAGTCACTTGTGCCAAATGAGGGGATCATTATCCAGCACACTTAAGCAAGTGAGTTCATTTTGTGAAAGTATGGACAGATCTACACCATATATGTTGTACACTCTTTTTCCTTGCAAAACAATCTTATCAGTGGTAAGATTGATCACAAAGCATTTGGTAGAAGTGAATGCTACCATGTTAACTCTATCACACAATTGTGATACACTTATTAGATTGTACTTCAGTTCATCTATCAAGTATACATTCTCAATATAATGAGAATCAGTTTTACCTACCTTTCCAACCCCAATGATCTCACCTTTCTTCCCATTTTCCAAAGGAGACATTACCTCCTTTGAGGTCCTCAAGTGATAGGAACTTGTTCTTGTTACTTGTCATATGCTTTGAGCAGCCATTATCCATGTACCATATTTGGCTGCTCCCCTTCACTTGGACATGCAAAAGGAAATCAGGGGTTAGTCTTAGGAATCCAAACTAGTTTGGGTCCCTTTCTATAGGCAAAAGGATGAATCAAATTCTTTTTAGCCCAACTTGATAGCTTATTCTTTCCTTGAACAAATTCTTTGTTCTTTTGACTTGCCTTTTCTTTTGCAGTGCATTCACTTTTAAAGTGACCTATTTTACCACAATGTGTGCAAATCGTGTTCTCAGGAAGTGTGAGATACTTGCGTTTGGGATCCCAATTAGGTGGCATATTTCCAAAGCCAAGTCCTCTTCTATTGCTACTATGATGTTCCTGTAGCCATAAAAGTGCATCGGAGGACCTGTTCCATTTACAAGTTCTGTCCAGCTCATGCTTGACCTTGCTTAGATCCTCCTTTAGAATTCTTACCTACTCATCCCTCTTATACAACTCATCTTTCAATTTACCTACATTTCCTTCTAGAGTGATTTGTGTGTGATTAGCTTTCTTCTTATCTGTTCCTAATTTCAGTTTTAGATTTTCAGATCTAAGTTCTAAGACATTTGAATCAGGTGCATAAACCTGGTTCTTCAAGGCAGTATTTTCACTTACAGTTTCACTAATCCTAAGTTCCATGTTTTTGCACTTTGCTTTTAAAATCACACATTCTTTAGACAGTTGTTCTTTTTCATTATTTACATACTCAGATACATCAATTAGATCTAGAAGTAACTCAGATAGCATTTCTTTAGAAAAATTTAATCTTGTCTTTGAGATGAATTACACTTACCTCAGTTTCCTTATAAATTCTCCAATGGCCATAAGTGTTTGTTCATCCCCATCTTCATCATCTGAGCTTTCATCTTAAATTTCTCCCCAAGCAGCGACCATAGCCTTGGTTGATCCTTCATTTTTCTTGGGTTAAACTTGTTCCTTCTTCTTATTCCTTCATTCAGCTCTTTCCTTCTTCCATTCAATTTCCCATTGAGGGCAGTTCTTGATGTGGTGATCAGTCTTCCCACACTTGTAGCATCCTTCATTGGTTTGCTTTTCAGGAACCTTTTGATTGCTGTAGCTTCCACTTCTTGAAGGACCCTTTCCTCTCCTTAGGTACTTCTTGAAGTCCTTTGTGATCATAGCCATTTTATCATCTTCTAGATCAGAACCTTCAGTGATTCTGAGTGTCAAGATCCTTTCCTTCTTAGGTACATCCATCTTCATGGTTTGCCTCTTAAGTTCATAAGCAGTAAGATTTCCAATTAACTCATCTAATTTGAGGGTGGCAATGTTCTTTGATTCCTGAATGGCAGTGATTTTGCTCTCCCAAGTAACAGGCAGAACCCTTGTCAAAATCTTCCCAACTCTGTCTTCTTCAGGAATAATCCTTCCAAGAGACTTTAGTTCATTTGTCAATGTAGCGAACCTTATGTGCATCTCTTAAATGGTTTCCCCTTTCTTCATGGTGAAGTTCTCATCTTGAGAATACAGTAGAGTTCCTCTGGACCTCTTCACTTTCCTTCATGGGCCACTTGCATAGCGTCCCAAATTTCCTTAGCCGTGGTACAACTTTGGATCCTACTGTACTCATCTGTACCAAGTCAACAAACAAGTCATTTCTTGGCTTTGGCATTCTTCTCCAATTTACTTAGATCCTCATAGTGCAGTCAGCTCTTGTTTTTGGCACCTCTACTCCTTCAGCATTTTTCTTCACGGTAGCCAGAAGACCATCAGTGACAATGCCCCATGGCTCGTAGTCCTCTCCTATGATGTGATCTCTTATCCTGTTTTTCCACCAGGAGTAGTGGCGCAGCAATGGATTGTCCTTCCCAGTTTCTAGGTGGTGCACTCATCTTGATCTTCTCCTAAGGTGTTAGCCTCTTCAAGGATAACCCGCTCTGATACCAATTGATGTTTTAACTTCAATACCGCACAAGAGGGGGGTGATTTGTTTGGTGTCCAATTTTTCGCGTACACTGATTATAGAAGGACCTGGTTCTTCTAAGTGTTCCTTAACCTACTGTTGCTGAAATAGTAAAGGCGGAAAGTAAAGAACACAAGTATTTTTACGTGGAAAATACCTGGCTCAAAAGGTGAAAAAACCACGACCTACTACACAGTGGGATTTTTCCCAACACTTCACTAAATCACTGAGCCAAAACAGCATTTACAAAACACTTTGTAAACCTAAGGTTTAACTCTAATTCCGTTGTGGCAACCAGCCTCTAACTGTTGCGAGAACTTCAAGTTAACTCTAACTTGAAGACTCAAAGCACCAATTACAATTGCTTCTAGATAAAGCTGAAAGGTACAATATGAAACTCCTACTATAATTGAACTAGAATAAAAGACAACCACTTGGAACTGGTTTTTCTATCTAGTTCATGTAGCTTCAGGTTCGCACACTTGAATCACACAAGAATTGCTTGCAATATGCCTTGCTATTTTGCTCTCAACTCACATTTAAATTCTGCTTTTGTACGTGCCTGTAAAGTGAGAACATCCTGCGATTTATAGAGTTAATAGAATAGAAAATAACTAAAGTTCTAATGCTACTCTTCCTTGGTGGAAGAATTCTAGTTAATTTTAACCTCTAACTCCTTCCTTATCTTGGATAGTGTTCTCTTTGAGTAAGGAGTCCTTCTCCTTATCAATTATGCAACCTTTTCGATCTGGATCTATCAGATATATCAAGTTAAGCTTACGTCCTTCAGGTGCATCCGTTATGCTCGAATCTGCCCGTGTCTATGTACATAGGGGATGGACCTGGTTCATGCCTGAGCTCCTTTGTCAATCTTCAAAAAAGCACTTCACTTGGACCAACAAATTCCTCCTTTTTGATGATGACAAACTCTGTGCATTTTATAAGCTTGGGCTTTGTTTCAACTCAGCTCAAAATCAACACAATGTTAGAACATTTTACCTGTTTATCACTTATCATCAAGGACACAGTTTATTAGGTGATAAACATCACTGTTCAAAGCACAACCTTTTTCCCTTTTGGCGTCATCGAAAAGTTGCAACCATGCATAATCAATCACGATAGGGAAAGAGTGCAGTAGTGAAAAAGACGGATATAATATACTCCCTCCGGTCCAAAATAAGTGATTTTTTGGCCTTTTTTTGTGGTCCAAAATAAGTGATTTTTCCAGATTTCATGAATGAATTAATTATTTTTCCCTACATTGTTCTTGGAGTAAATAGTGTTAGAGTATGTGTTAGAAGTGTTTATGTGAGATAGTAAAGGTGAATATGGTCAATTTCATTGCTAATTAATACTAAAAGATGGATTTCTTAATCTGTGTGAAAACATTCAAAAAATCACTTATTTTGGAGATAAGAGGGAGTATGATTATCATTTACACTATGTGCTGACAACAACATTCTTTCATGAAGATTTTAATGAGGCAGGCACGCATGGGCAGAGACACAGTGACAGTGAATACTAGGAAGTAGTCAAACGTACGTAAAAGCGCGTCCTAAACGAGTCAGAAAAAAATGGTGGTTGTCATGTTACCTAAAAAAACTGAAACAAACAGAAAAACTTTTCTTAGAGAGAGAAAACAAGAGAGAGAAAGCTTTTTTCTCCTTTTTCCTCAATCCTCTTTCTCAGAGGTGGTCGAAGAGAGGTTCCTCTTCTAAGATCATCCTGAAAAGAGCACTCAATATAACAAAAACAAAAAAAATAAAAAAAAAATATTAAAGCTAGAATTTTGATTACCAACATAATTTTCTTTGGATTTTTAATTCTACATTCAATAATATTCCCACATTCTGCATTTGCTTAATTTGTTTGAAAATTCCAAGAATTTCATTTTCTGGTAATTTTTAATCTTTGGTTTTTGTTTTGTTTTTTCATTATTCTAAAGAATCTTTAAATTTCTGTTAATTGCTTGTGAATATGGTTATCCTCTGATCACCTTTTTGCTTTTGATTCTTTCTTTTATTTAAAAAAAATTATTTCTTGCTAATTCTTTTTATTTCTGTGCTTGCATTTTCAGCTAAACATTGAATCTTGGAAATTTTGACGACTCGGGGTTTACAAATAATGGTGAAAACAGAGGTATTATAGCCTAAATATGAAAAATAAAAGACCCCATTATGGTTAATTATATGAAAAAGGGCTAATATTTTTTTGCTATTGTTTGTAATTCTTTTTGTTTTTTGTGTCTAGTATAGAGTTGTGCAGATAAGCAAATATATGATTCTATGTCCGAGTGATTTGTCATTGCTCGGAGGAGAGTCATTTCATACGAAAAAGCTGGCGATTTTGTGTGAGATTTTGTATAGAGGTCTGGCTTTTGGCAGAAATTATTACTGCCTTAACATATGGTTTTGCAAGCAATGAGGCGTAGATGGAACATTTATGGAATCAAGTTGTTGTCCTATTTCTCCATTTTGATTCTTCTTTTGGAGGTTCATGGATGTTGCTCTCTCAATTCTGAAGGTATTTTACTTTTGCTTTGTGTTTCTCCATTGGCTATTCTCTAGTTTCGGGCGTGGAGGCGGACTTATGTGTTATAGTGAAGGGTCACCAGACCCCGTATGTTTCTGCAGAAATCCTGTATATGTATATGTATATACCTTAATGGTTAATTTAAAGTACTTGACACTCTGAACCCTAAAAGCCTTTAAGGGGAATTGGTTGAGCACAATAGTGTGCCCCCGTCGAATAAAAATCCTGGGTCCGCCTCTGTTCCGGCGGCAGAGCAAGGTTGGAGATAGGGGGTTCAATTGGATCCAATTCATTGAAAAATTATATCATGCAAATAGAGCAAAACTAGATTTTTTTTAAAATTATATATAAGCTGTTGAATCCCGTTGGTATAAACGAAAGTTCTAGTAAAGTCGCAAAGGGGGTTTAAAAATTAGTTTTGGTCAGAAGTTCAAATCCTAAGTGTTATTGAATCCCCTTGTCTAAAATCTTGGCTTCGCCACTACTTTGACCGTTTTTGGGTACTCTCTACTACTAGCGTAGGTACCGGTAACTATGCCAATCGAGGCTTAGGCATATGAGACGAAATCACTTAGTGATTTTTGTCTCTACAAGGAATTGAGCCTTGATCTTCCATGATTAAATTCACTTAGGGCTGTGGATTTTGTCTCCGTGGCCTGCGGGCTATCCTCTAGTTTCTCTTTGTCTATTCAAGTTTTGGCTTATTCTTTGTTCTGCTGGTTAATGTTGATTTGAGAAACAGGATTGGCATTGTTGGAATTCAAATTGAAAGTTGAATCTGATCCTAATGGAGCTCTTGAAAACTGGAATGCCAATGACTGCGACCCGTGCATGTGGTCTGGTGTAGAGTGTCTGGACGGTAAAGTGAAAACGCTGTAAGTCTCTTGTTATGCATGCTCGACCTTTCTAGTTGAGATTATTTTGACGATAAACTTTCTCTATTGGTTAGTGTTCATTGATTTTTTTCTATAACCTGTCTGTTGAACAAATAATGATAAACCAACTGCAACACACTGAATTCGTTTGTTTAGACTATTGTGATACTTCTTATGTCGTTAAACTAGTCGCCCTTTCTTTTTCGCTTGGTTCAGAAATATCCATGGATGTTCTTTGGAAGGAATACTGGCATCGGAGCTTGGAAATCTTACTCACTTGAGATCGCTGTGAGCTTTTGCTATACTAATATGCCTTTCTTTTGAAGCTCTTGCTCATTAAATCTTATATGGTGTTTTACCTAAACCGTCTGTAGTGTTTTGATGTTTGAATTAAAGCTTTCATCATCTTGTATTCTGCATTTTACATTGTTCTGTGCATAAGTTGTTTATTTGAATCTTAACTGTATTTCTTCTTGCTCTCTGATTGCTTTCGCAGCGTGCTCTCAGGAAACCACTTCTTTGGTGCTATTCCTAAAGAATTTGGACGACTCAATAGGCTCGAAGTGCTTGACTTGAGCGATAATAATTTTAGTGGAACAATTCCAGCAGAGATAGGAGACTTACAATCACTAAGAATCTTGTGAGTTAATCATTTGTCGTGTGCATGAAGACCTGTACATAGGCGTGCACATTTGTGCTGCAGAAGTGATGTCAAAATGCTCATCAGCCGTGTTTAATTCTTTTTTCCAGGTTGATTCGTAACAATAACTTTGAAGAGAGTGTTCCTTTGGAAATTGGGAAGCTTCATTTAGTCTCAGAATTGCAATATGATGAGAATCTCACTTCTGGTTTTGCTTCCGGAACTCGCTGTATAAGAAAATTTCGGCATTGGTAAGATTTGTTTTAGTTTTGCGGTATCCTGTAACGGAGAATGCTGACTGCTAAAACTTCTAGTGTTATATTGTAAAGTATTTTGCATGTTTTTCTCTGATAATTTGATGCCTGTTTCCGGCAGCATTTGGCATGGCAGCTTGAGGCCATTCAAGACCATAACCTCCTTTATCGAACCAATAAAAGGAACACTTTTCCGTTACCTCAATTTCTTCCAATTGTAAGTAATTAACTATCTTGTAACATAACGTGTTCGTCATTAAGTTTTATCATTGAGAAGCATTTGTTTTCAATAGGTCATCCCCTGGAAACGGCTTTTTGGATGACCATAAAGAGGAGATTGCACGACGTAAGTTAGCTGAACAATCCAGTAATCTTGCTGCTGCTCCTGCTAATATTAAAGGACCATTGGGTCCTGTTATTCAAATGCCGAGTAGTAGAAGTAGTGGTTCATTTCGCGCTGTGCCAAATACCGATGGAACAACTCCTACAAACTTACCTTTCTCACCTCCACAGCATGAATCTCAAGACAGATTAAATCCCGAGGGACAGCCTATGAGTGCTTTTAAACAGCCAAGTCCTGTTAAACAGCCAACTAATAGTCAAACTCCACCTGCCGGAAAGTCTGAAAGTCCTTGGAAGTATGTAGTTGGGATTTTAGGTGGAGTATTTTTGCTCATTGTTGCCGTATCTGTGTTCTTAATCTGCCGAAGCAGAGCAGCTAGAACGATTGGTCCTTGGAAAACTGGATTGAGTGGACAGCTACAAAAAGCATTTGTTACAGGTATTTTGATCAAATTGTGTCAAAAATTGATACTGCTAATTTTTGATTTATTGAGCTAAAACTGCCTAAGAAACTCTTAACATGATGTGATATTGTCCGCTTTGGATAAACGAGCCCCATGCCATCACTTGTTACAGGTATTTTGATCAAATTGTGTCAAAAATTGATACTGCTAATATTGTGATTTATTGGGCCAAAACTGCCTAAGATACTCTTAACATGATGTGATATTGTCCGTTTTGGATAAACGAGCCCCATGCCATCACTCTGCCATTGCCATACCTGTCCTGCCAAACCTAGGCTCTGATATCAGATGTTGGGCTCGACTAACCCGAAAATACTCTCAACATGATATGATATTGTCCGCTTTGGTCCAAGCCTACACGGTTTTCCTTAAAAGGTCTCACACCTACCTTATATATAGGCTTCCAATCTTTTCAGCTACCGATGTGGGACTTTGTTCTCATGCCGAACATGATTTCTGTAGAAGGGTTAACAACCTTTCTCGCAGGTTGATATCATCCCATTAATCTATACTTATAACATGTTTAATTGAATAAAGGGAAGTACTGATATTTTTCCTCTTATAAGGAATTGGAGGACTAATATTCTTAGCGTAGCATTTTTATATACCCTTTTTCCCTATAGCTTGTTTTTCAACAACCTTAGGAAGGCGAAATCCTTCATTTTACTTCGTGATATTTGATTTTCATTGTAATTATCTTGCTTGTGGAAACATTGTAGGGGTACCAAAACTAAACAGGTCCGAGCTCGAAACAGCATGCGAGGATTTTAGCAACATTATTACAAGCGGTGATTCATATATAGTACACAAAGGAACACTATCCAGCGGAGTGGAGATCGCCGTTATCTCAACTACAATAAGTTCTGTCAAAGATTGGTCCGTCCACTCAGAAACAGCCTTCAGGAAGAAAGTAAATCTTGCTTTTCTTTCACAAATATACAATCCCTGAAATCTTTTTCTGTCTCACACTTTACTTAGTCGATTATTAAACTCATAGATATTTCTTATTGTTTTACCTGAATAGATCGATACATTTTCAAGAGTGAACCACAAGAATTTTGTTAATCTTATTGGATATTGCGAGGAGGATGAACCTTTCACTCGGATGATGGTCTTTGAGTATGCTCCTAACGGAACTCTTTTCGAACATCTTCATGGTAATTAAACTTTCTAGGAATTCATGTTTCAGTTTAATCATTCACGATGGTGCTTTGATTTATTAATGTATAACGCGAACTACAATTTTTTGCTGTTCCAGTTGAAGAAACCGATCATCTTGACTGGCCTGCAAGGATCAGGACGATCATGGGTACAGCGTATTGTCTTCAGTACATGCATGATTTGAACCCACCCGTGCCACATTCCACTTTGAATTCGAAGGCCATATTTTTGACCGATGATTATGCCGCTAAGGTCTGTTTTCTCACAGATATATGTCCCTTAATATGTCATAAAGAAACTATATCTACTATAAATGAATGTTGGAACCCTTGTATTGTATACATTGTTGAAGTAAATGTGTATTTTTTCGTTTTACAGATTACAGAGACAGATTTCTGGTCAGAACTAACAGCCAAGTCAAAGTCCTCTAGTGATGATTTAGAGAACTCAGAGCTGCCGCCGCTTGCTGATCCTGAAATGAATATCTATAGTTTTGGGATTCTTTTGCTAGAAATAATTTCTGGAAAATCGCCTTATTCAGAAGAAAAGGAGTCTCTTCTGAACTTGGTAAATTTCCATCAATTCTATATTATATGCTCCCCTTATTCTCTTAGTTCTTCAACTTTTATGTTCTGTTCCCTAGAGTGCAATTCCTGTTTCTGCTAGAGCCGGAGGCGGATCTAGAATTTAAATTTTATGGGCTCAACCTTTAAAAAAAATACGATTTGAACCTACAACAACTAACAAATCCAGTGTATTCCCATAAATAGGGTCGGGGAATGGTAGTGTGTACGCAGATCTTACTCCTACCTTATAAAGATAGAGAGAATGTTTCCACCTTGAACTTATTATTTTTTTGATATTATAGGTTCAAACCTACCACCTTTTGCAATTTTAATATTTTTTTACACATAAATTTATGCTCTTCGTCGAAAATACTAGGTTCAGATGAACCCCACCGATACTCTACATTCGCCCCCAAATAGAGCCAGAGGCGGATCTAAGATCTGGTTCAGTTGGTTCATTTGAATCTTTTGCATTCGTCTCGATCCATAAGTACATATGCAAAAAAGTTTATGCTTTTTTGTGTGTGTGCGCGTGCGTATAAATTAGACTCAGTCTGAACCCGCTCCCGCTACCCGCTGACAATAGATCCTATATTCGCCTATGGCTAGCACAGGTTTTGTCAAACTTTCTTCTTTTACAATTCATAAACATCATAACTGTTTCTTTGTTTTAGGCGGCGAAATATCTTCATGATAAGCAGAATATCATCTCATTGGTGGATCCAACATTGAAGTCTTTCAAGAATAATGAGCTTATGGTTATTTGTGAAGTAATTGAACAATGCATACAAGAAGATCCAAGGAAGAGACCAACTATAGGAGAAGCCATTGCAAAACTAAGGGAAGCAATTCATGTATCACCTAATGCTGCAGTTCCAAGGCTTTCTCCTCTATGGTGGGCTGAACTTGAGTTATTATCAAGTGAGGCTGCTTAATGTGGCTTAATTTACCTGTCTACTTTGCATGTTCGAGTACGTGTTGCGCGCTTTACTACGTATGAATACACGAATACATCATTTCTCGTAAATCTCCTCGTAGTTGTATTTAATTGTCCTCTGTATATTTATGAGTTTATATTGGTTTGTTCTTTATTATTGGAGCAACAAGTTCAGTTAGGATTCACATAGCTGATCTTAGCTTGCTTGGGATTGAGACGTTGTTGTTGCTGTATATTGCGCGTCTGCTTTGTAAGTCGAGTGTTGCTATTTTGCTATGTATGTATGAATAGATGCATACATCATTTCTCTTAAAGCCTCCTCATAGTCGTATATATATTGGTTTATTCTTTTTTTATTGGAGTGATATGGATACTGAGAATTCATATAGTCAACCTCAACTTGCTTAGGGTTAAGGCGTAGTTGCTATTGTATAGTGGTTTATTCTTTTAATGTGTTGTCTTTGCCATGAATTGCATTTCTACCTTTTCAACGGGATAATAATATAGTCTATGCCCTTTTATGATTAAGTGTGTGTGTATGTATATATATATATATATATATATATATATATATATATATCTTCTGCAAAGATTCTTGAAATTAAAATAAGCAGATCTTATCTAATTTTTCTTGATTCTAAGTTTTTGTCAAACTTTTATCTGGTTTATATGGACCCGATGGAGTTTAAAATACTACTGTTACACGATTGTTTTAGCACATGATGGAGTCAAGAAGTTTTGATTTTTATGCGCTGATAGTGTAAAATTTGTGTTTACATTGTCAATAAATTTTAACATGTGATAACAAGTTTGTTACCATTTTTATTGAGTAGCCAAGTGAAGAGGGGTTTTGTATTTCTTGTTTGATCAGGGAAAATTACGCGACACATCAAACATTTATACAATATTTATCATTCGTAGCTATATCTTCAATAAATTTACTATCTGTAGGTATATTTGAATTTTATAGCAAATCCACGAAACAAGAGATTAATTGTTTTGAACTGAGACAAGAGAGCAACAAGCTTTCATAGCTTAGTTGATTAGAGGGCGTGTTTAGTTAGCGGAGGTCGCTAACTAAAGCCTCTTCTGCTTGCAACCTAGTAGTAGGTCGCTTAGTAGAAGACTCAGGAGTGAGAACTGTCCTTCGCTTGACAATAAATGCATCAAGAGCAATGTTGTCTTGGTCTTCCTCATCACTAGACCTCATCTCAGGAACCAGAATTTCCAAGGGCTCAACAGCAGAGGGTGGAAAAGGTGCTGGAGCAAAACTGACCTGGGAGGGGGATCCTTGACCTGTTTACTCCGGAGAGGGGTTAGGTCCTTCACGAGAAGTCCGAGAAGTTTCTGCTGGTGCAGAGCTTTCAAGCAGCACCATGGCTCCTTCTTCCACCAACCCCTGTGTCTCATTCCTCTGAGACTTGGGTACACCAGAGACTACCTCACGCATTACTCCATCTACAAATACAACAAAAGTGGTTGCGACGGTTTCCTCCTCTGGAGACTCCATGGACACCACAGAATCTAAAGCAAGAATGCGGAAGGTTGATCAACCCTAGCCCTTGAAACCTCTACAACCTTTGGAACTTTACCCTGTTCTCCACCCTTGCCTTGGTCGGTGAGAATCTTAGTCGATAGAGATGAAGGATTATCGATTTTTGGGGTTTCTGAGTTCTCATCATTTGAAGTAAGAGAGAGGTCTGAGATAGTATCTGGGTTGGAGATGTTTTCATTGGTTGAGACTGGAATGGTGACAGTGGCTTCATCAGGGACGGAGGACTCAAGGGTTTTCTCTGGGTTAATTTCTACTGAAGAGGGAATTTTCAAGTGATTGTCAGCCATTGCAGAGATGGAGTTGAGAATTTTTTGGAGAGGGTCTGATGTGAGGAATAAGATCGGTCAAGAGAGAAGAGGGTTTTAATGAGAGAAGATAATTATGAGGGAGAGAGAGAAACCGGTTCAGAAACGGCGGTAGTGTGTAGGGAGTTGCAGCGTTTCAGAGGGAGATGGAAAAGATTTAAAATGAAAAGACGTGACAGCAGAGTCTGAAAAGGTGAATGACATGGCAGTTGATATTTGCACCTTTTTAAGATATGTATGAGAGAATGCACAGGACTACTAACCTTTGGGACAAGAACCAGGTTCTTGACCTGTCTTTGAAAATCTCAATCCTCTTTTACTGCCCATGCAGTGCATCTACAGCTTCTATAATCATCATGCGTGTCTACCTGCGACGGTATTGAAGCGAGTTAGACTTGGCCGGAAAACACTTTAGCTAATATTACCTGAAGGTGACTTTCATAGCCAACTGATGGGAATCAGGTTCTCAATTAGGCTTCAATAGCCCCAGCTTCACCCGATTTCTTTCAAAATGCTCCCTACTTAATGCTTTGGTGAAGATATCTGTAATTTGGTCTTCTGTACTGCAGAACTTCATATAGATAAGCCCCTTCTCCACATTGTCCCTCAGAAAATGATGTCTCACATCAATGTGCTTGGTTCTTTTATGTTGAACTGGATTCTTGGCCATGTTGAGTCTACTGGTGTTATCACACAAAAGAGGCACACAGTCAGTATATACACCAAAATCTTCCAATTGTTGTTTGATTCATAGGAGTTGAGCACAGCAAGAAGCTGCAGCTATATATTCTGCTTTAGCTGTTGAAAGAGCTACTGAGTTTTGCTTCCTTTGCCCCATGAGATGAGACATGATCCTAGAAAGTGAGCCATTCCAGAGGTACTTTTCCTGTCCATAAGATAACCAGCATAGTCAGCATCAGCATACCAATAAGATTAATGTTGTCACCTGAGGGATAGTACAGGACCAGGTCCTGTGTTCCCTTAAGATATCTCAAAATTCTTTTGGCAGCCTTCAGATGAGATTCCTTGGGATTTGACTGAAACCTCGCACATAGCCCCACACTAAAGACAATATCAGGTCTACTGGCAGTGAGGTAGATAAGAGATCCAATAATGCCTCTATACATGGTTTGATTTACAGGGGATCCGGAGTCATCCATGTCTAGTCGAGTAGCAGTGGCAATGGGAGTGTATTTCTGCTGGCAGATGAATGTACCCTTTGTGGACTGCTTCACTTGAAGGCCCAAGAGGAAATTCAACTCACCCATCATACTCATTTCAAACTCACTTCCCATGAGTTTTGCAAATTCCTCACATAGTGAATCAGCTGTCGCCCCAAAAATGATAACTTCAACATATACTTGGACGATGAGCAGGTTCCTCCCCCGTTTCTTCAGGAACAGGGTGTTGTCAATTTTTCCTCTCATAAAACCATTTTCTAAGAGAAATTTTGACAGCCTTTCATACCAAGATTGAGGAGCCTGCTTCAACCCATACAATGCCTTGTCCAGTTTAAACACATATTCAGGGTGTTCATGGCATTCAAACCCTGGAGGTTGCTTCACATAGACTTCTTCTTTAAGAAATCCGTTCAGAAATGCAATTTTGAAATCCATTGGAACAGAGTGAATTCCATATGTGATGCAAAGGCGATTAAGATTCTAATAGCTTTCATGCGAGCAACCGGAGCAAACGTCTCATCATAATCGATCCATTCCTCCTGATTATTCCTAAATACCCACCTGGTTCCTATGATGGTTCGCTCTGAGGGTCTAGGTACCAGGTGCCATACATTGTTCCTTTCGAACTGATGCAACTCATCTTGCATAGCTGTAATCCAGTCTGCATCCTTTAAGGCTTCCTTGATGTTTTTGGGTTCTATTTGGGAAACAAAGGCTGAAAAGGCGAGTGAATTTCTGGCTTTTGATCTGGTTTGCACTCTGGAATCTAGAGGGGTAATTATGTTGTCAAGAGGATGAGAGCTTTCGTGTTTCCATTTGGGCATTTGAGGCTCATTTGTAGAGGAGCTGGGTAGATCTGACTGGTTCCTTTGTATTCTACTCTCAGCCGCCTATGGAGTACCTTGCACTGCATCAACCACTCTCTCTTCAGCTTCAGTGGTTGTAATTATAGTACCTGGTTCCCTTGAGGATAAAGCTGCATCGTCTCCACTTGGCTCCTTCATTTGACTCATCTTGTCTGCCTTTCTGTTTGTCATGTCAATGACTTCACCTGGAACCAGCAGAGGCTCTCCATCTTGATCATCCTTGGTGATTTCCTCACTGGAGGGATAAGACTCGTCAAAGATTACGTGAACACTTTCCTCAACACACTGAGTCCGCTTGTTGTGTATCTTGTAAGCTTTGCTTTGAGAAGAGTGCCCCAAAAAGATTCCTTCATCATTTTTGGCATCGAATTTTGCAAGCTGATCCTTTCCATTGTTGAGAACATAACATTTGCACCCAAATATTCTTAGGTGAGTCAGCTTGGGTTTCCTTCCATTCAGCAACTCATAGGGGGTTTTGTTCAGGAGAGATCCGATCATGCGCCTGTTCACCAAGTAGCAGGCAGTGTTGACAGCTTCAGCCCAGAAGTTCTTTGCAATCTCACTGTCGATCAACATTGTTCTTGCCATTTCCTCAAGAGTTCTATTCTTCCTTTCCACAACTCCATTTTGCTGGGGAGTTCTTGGGGCTGAGAAGTTGTGAGTAATGCCGTTTTCATTACAGAATTCATCTAATTTGGCATTGTCAAATTCTCTTCCATGATCTGATCTAATGCATGCTACTCTAGACTCCATCTTCACCTGGATTTTCTTCACAAAGGCCACGAATACCTCAAAGGTTTCATCTTTTGTTCTAAGAAACAGAGTCCAAGTGAATCTGGAGTAGTCATCTACTATCACAAAGATGTATCTTGTTCCTCCCCTGCTTTGCACTCTCATAGGCCCACACATATCCATATGAAGGAGATCAAGTGGCTTTGAGGTGCTGACATCCTTCTTAGACTTGAATGAAGACTTCACATGCTTCCCTCTAGCACAGGCATCACAGACCTTCTGTTCTTTGAACTTTGACATGGGCAGACCACGCACCAGGTCCTTCTGAATAAGTTTATTCAGAAGAAAGAAGCTTGCATGCCCCAGTCTTCTGTGCCACAGTTCAGCATCATTATCAACAACTTTCAAGCAACTCAGATCACCACTTTGTAGAGACTCGAAATCAGCAACATAGATGTTCTTTTTATCTTTTAGCCAGAAGTACCACTTCACCAGTTACCAGATTTGTAACTGTGCATATCTTGGACAAGAACTCCACCTTGTTTCCTTTATCACAAATCTGAGAAACACTCAGGAGACTGTACTTGAGACCATTGACATAGTACACATTCTCAATTGAGTGAGTGAGTGATTTCCCAACTTTTCCAACTTCGAGAATGTACCCCTTTTTCCCATTGCCAAAGGATACACTCCCTCCTTGCAGGGCTTTTAGTGAAA